ACCCACAAGCTCAGACAATGAACCTTCACCCTCATCCTACATCCGAGCTACAGATATTTTCCACTGTTGCTTTAAGTCTCAAGCGAAAGAATGGAATATCGATGCAATAAGGATGGAACCACAACAGCATTTTTTTGCAAATGGCTGTTTGAACCAAAGTGGGGCTGGTTTTGTGTTGACAAAGAGGGACATTTTCAGCCTGAAACTCACTGAAAATCCAACCGACAACATTGGTAAAGTGTTCTTAAAGAACAAGAGAGGGAAGATGAAGAATTGAGCGCTGGGAACAGGCTCCCGTTGTTCCTCTGTGTTGCTGCTGCCCAGACTCCAAAGGCTCCGGAGTCAGCACCCCACTCCCAGATGATCCTGGCCCCATTTCTGCATCGGATGCAGGACCCTCATCCGAATCATCTCCAGTATTCCCGGACTGATCCCCTTTCTTCCCTACTGTCTGATTCCACTGCCATCTGCACAGGCTGCTGGTGAACCGCAACAATGCCAATCTATAGAATTCCAAAGATGCGGATTAAATAAGAACTATCCCAGCCAACCTGAGCCTTTCCCACCCCAGCACCCTAGGTGTAGTGGAACTAAAACTCCCAGAGTCCCCAGTGTCTGTGCCAGGTCAGGAATACCGGGAGTTGCAGTCCTAACCTATCTAGAGCTCACTGGACTGGGAAAGTTGACCCAGCCGCTTTCTACGCTGTTCCGGTCTCTTTTCATGCTCTATTTATATTTCATACCTCTCTCACCAATTCTCCGCTTGCAATTCCAGTCTCTCAACTGGAATTAAGGTGTAAAGTGCTCCGAGCCCAAAGCATCAATTTAAACCAAGCTGAAACTATCCAGTTCTCAGCAACTGACCATTTGCCAGATCAGTTCGCTTTCCAGAGGCTTTCTCCTGCTCTCGGGGAGACAACAATTGTTTCACAGGGATGAGTAAAATCTCCAGGGCTTTCCGGCTACTATTATAGCCGCAACTTCTGATCCTCGGAGATGTCCAGCTTGTAAAGGCCATCATGCTGGGATGAAGTGAAATGCCCTCAGGTTTTAAATGCAAACTCCACACAAGCTTTTCGTTCTGACTGTGCCTTTTCCCCCCCACCCTCTCATTCTTTCTTTCTTTTTACCGATGTGCCGGCAGGAAATTGGTTTTTGCCAAGCCTATAGATGAAATACAAATGGCCTGCCAGGGAAAATTACTTGCCGGGGGCCAAGGAGCAAAAGATGCTTTCAATCTGATCGATAGGATGTGAAAAGAGGGGGGGGGGGGGACAAGGGAATGGGGAGAGGGGGAAATCCCCCTTTGGCATCTTGACATGACCTTGTAAGCCTGTTTATTCTGTAAATAATTTCCTGAAGGGGGAGAAAAGAGACATTGGAGATTCCAGAAACTCTGTTTGTTCCCCAAATAGTGTTTTAGCTAGATGGCACACAGTGGAATGGGTAAAACTATGCATGCTTGATCTCATTGTTCCAATATACCCTAGTGGCTTTATTTTTGCCAGGCTTAGGTGCCAACAAGCCCAGCTTAGGGTACCTGCCTTCCCTCTGTTCCTGAGTAGCTCCCTGCCCTTCTTGGCTTGACAAACCCAACCCATTTCTTAACTATCCTCTGCAGGCTACTGCAGAACGGCAGAGGATGGGGAGCGTTATACAAACACCAGCAGGGCTAAAGCAAAGTGGCCGTGCGCCAGTAAAAGTGGGCATTGTTCAAAAGAGGGCTCTACTACCAACCTCATTTTTTCTCTCCCTCCATAGAATCTTGATCCCTTAGAACAGTGGCCCCCAACCTTTTTTGAACCAGGGACCGGTTTCACGATTATTTATTCTTCCACGGACCGGTACCTGAGTAACGCGAGACTCCACCGCCATCGGGACGGCTTTTCGTTCGAAGCCGCCCCCCCCCTTTGACAAAACTAAGGCACGAGCAACCCAAATGACGTTTTCCAACCGAAAACCCGGAAGCAACCGAAAACCCGGAAGCGCCGTCGAAACAAGATGGTGGGGCCCAAGCTTTGCGGCCCGGTAAAAAATGATCCACGGACCAGTAACGGTCCAGGGACCGGTGGTTGGGGACCCCTGCCTTAGAAGCTTTATTTCTAGCCTCAGCCAGTGGTGAATTGTTTGAGCCAACCCTGGTCCACACGGACAGATTATTGTATTGCCACTGCAGAATGATCAGGCGTGCCTAACCTTGGCAACGTTAAGACCTGTGGACTTCAACTCCCAGAATTCCCCAGCCAGCGAACAGGGGAAGTCCCAAAGTCGTAAAGTTGCTAAGGTTGGACATTCCTGACCTAAATGGTAATTCTCTTGAGAGGTAGAGCAGAGAAACAGCAGACTAAAAAATCCCAGCTCTGGAATCAATGTCGTTGATTGGACTTGAGCCAGTGATTAACCTACCTTGCAAGGTTGTTGTGAAGATAAAAGAGGAGTGGTCTGATCTATTTGGAGGCAGGAGAGGGTTCACAAGTGGGAAAGAACTGTAAGAATGGCACACACTTGCATCTACCTACCTGCATCTACACATTTGCAGAAGAACCTATTTCTGTCCCTAAAATATCTCAGTTAAACATCCATCAATAGACACATAGAGATAAATCATACCATTTAAGAGGCAATAAAACAGAAGGAAACGAAAAGACCACTGACACATCCTCTCCAACACCAGATAAACAAGGATTGACACCAGACAAACACTTGAACAGAAAATAATACCCCAACCAAGGAAACCACCAGAAAAAAACCCGCAGGGCCACCAACACTTGCAGGGCAAACTACAGTGTATAAACAAGAAGGAATCTACTAGATATGCATACACTCACTCTCACTGATGATGTTGCCTAGATGGATACTGAAACATCCACAAACAAATAGCCAAGCTCATCGAACACCAAGGTCCCCACCGTTAAATCCTAAGCTATTTATATTCTCAGCCATTAAATAGAATAATTATGTGACATAGAAGAAAAAAAAAGCTTTCCTTTACAAAGGTCTTACAAATGTATATGCTTTTTTAAAAAAATTAAATCTAAATACAGGGACACCTGACAGCAGCTGTAGAAGAAAGAAGAAAGCACAGCAAAAAAAAAAAAAAAAGGGGGGGGGGGCTCCTGAGATCCCGGCATGGAATAGCAATTGCTCAGAGGAGAAACGATCCACTGGAAACCCAACTTAGAGTGCCAGAGAACCAAAACTTCCACTTTTTGGAAAACTACTTCATTCTGCAAAATATGCAACAAATATGAAAATAACAGAGACATTCAGAGCTTCTAAACAGAAGGTTTAAGAACCTTTTATTTTTGGGGTGGGTGGGGGGGACACCCCCATTAGGCTGAAAAGTTATTTCTCCTATTGCAACAGCGGTGGGTGTGATTCAAGAACAGAGAGGAAGGCAACCTATGGTTCAAACAGCCTCATTTTATACCGGAGTGCTGGAACAGGTATTGGAGCTAACACAAAATCTACCTTCTTGTCCCCTCCTGAAATGTTAAGTGAGTAGGATCACCCAGGGAAGAGTTAAGGCTATAACAAGCACCCTGTGCTTTGAGATCAGAAGAACATCAGCATTGGGAAAATTCTTCTGGTTTAGACCCCAGTGTTTCCAAGAAAGGCTGGGAAACCCATTCTGTCTATCAGATATCTCACGGAGCGAACACAGGCAATATTGAGCTTACAGGTCTCAAAATTCAAACCTTCCCTATGTTTCTACGTACCATGAGATGCTTTTCCATCAGAAATCTTCAGTCTTACTGATTTCTGTCTGATTCTGGTTCTCACCAATTCCAGAGCTAATAGGGCTGGTGTCCTGCCATTTTCTTTCTTAACCTAGTTTCTTTGACCCATTATTTATAGGTAGACCATTTTGAACATGGTGGCTCCCCAGTTTCTAGCACCTAACATTAAGGGATAGACTGCCTCTGAATAAGGAAGCTCCACCGTGCATAATGATTGAAGAAGATTGAAGAAGTCTTGGTTTTGAAACAGGAAAAAGCCCCACCTCATGAATACATTCTAACATTCCCCTTTCCTACACCGAGTAGCAATGATGACTCCAAGAATGCCACAAGCAAATAATGAAAGCGACAAAAGATCTTTATTTTGTCCCCAGGAATGGCACAGGCAGATTGCCACTATACTCTCAGGCTCAATTTAATTACCACACCTAGTAGGAGACGGGAAAGCCACACGAGGACACATAATAATTTATTCTTTGCCAAATGAAATTCATAGCAAGAAATGGCTATTGCAATCTTCCCAACCTGATGCTCCCCAGATGTGTACTGGCAAAAGATGCTGAGAACTGAAGTCCAAAACATCTGGGAAGCAACATGTTCCTTTGCTCCAGCATGTCTTTCTGACTCTGGATACTGAGGGTGCTAATGGGTAAATTCTTGCGAGAGCTTCCATATCTAAGAATAGCTTATCTGCTGGAGGACTAGAAGTACAGTGCATGAGCTGGGTTACAATTGATACCTTTGTTTGTCCTGAATATAGGAGGATGATGTACCACGGGTATTTCCTGCATCCAACAGATGAAAGTCGGCAGTTGGTGTCTATGGAAATTCACGGGAGTAGTAAATAATGGTTTAAAGATAAACAGCTCAGGCAACAGAATTCTCCTGCTGGCACTCCTCTAGCATTCAAGCAACCTGAAGAATGGACGCTTGGCGGATGTGGAAATCAATAGCAATCATCACAACCCTCCATTTACAATAGCAGGGCACCACAGGAGTCAACCAAAAGGGCCACAGCAACCAGAAACCGCCCAATCTTCTCTCCCCAGGGATCTACCACCCCCTAAGATAGACTGCACCGGCATATGGAGGCTCCCAGCATCCTTCAAACGGGACAACGGCTTGCCTTGCTCCCAAGCATCCTTCAAACGTTTGAAGGACGCTGGGAGCCTCCATATGCGAGTGCAATCTATCTCTTTGGAAGATAGGCTGCCCCTGGCTGTGGAGGCTCCAGAGAAGGAGGGGGCGAAGGAGGCTTACCCAGGTCCTGAAGGGCATCGGGGGCTCGTCGACATCGTCGCCCGGGTCGCCCTCCTGGTCCTGACCCTCCGGCTCCTGCCTGATGCTGATGAAGGGGATGTCCAGAAAGGCGGCGGCGAAATCCACTTGGAGCAGCTCCCGCCGCGAGGCGGGAAAGGCGAGGACGGCGGCGACCCCTCGCACCACCAGCGCCTGGCACAGCCAGCGGGCCAGCGAGGCCGGGTCCCGATAGAGGGGAGCCCCGGGCAACACCTCCAGGCTGAGGTTGTACGGCAGGAAGGCGGCGGCGGCACGGCTGGCTCGAGCCAGGGCGTTGCGCACCCGGCTCTGCGCGCCTCCTCCGCGGGGCAGCAAGGCGCCCAGCTTCACCGTGTGCCCGATCCGCGCCAGGATGTGGCAGGGCTGCGGGTGGCCCCGGCCCGGCGCGGGGAGCAGCAGCAAAAGGCTGCAGGGGAGCGCCAGGCACCAGCAGCAGAGGAGCGCCCGGCGCAACTCCATAGAGGAAGCCTGCGCGGCGTGGGCGGGCAAAGTTTGGGGCGCCCGGCCCTTCCGCCCCCCTCCTGGCCCCTGGGTGAGCAGGAGGGCTGGGGGCGCCTAGGAGGGGAGGGAAGGGGCCGGGCAGGGCCCGCCCATGGGGACGTCGGGGGCGGAGGAAAGAGCCGGGCGCTGCTGCCGGAGCTGCAGCCGATCCAAGTGGCCGGGCGCTCTTCTGCGCTCTGCCTGGCGCTCGCTTTCCCGGGCGAAGGCGGGATAGATAGGCTTGCCTTGGCGCCGTTGGGCCACTGGGGGCGCTGGACGCGGCGGGGACCCGCCAAAAGAGGGCGGGCCGGTCGGCCGAAAGAACCGGCCGGCAGCCTCTGGGCCAGGGAGGGTGGCATCGCTGCCTGGCGGGGCAGAGAACCGGGGGGGCTTTTCAAACGGGGTGGCCCGAGCGATGAGAGACGGGCGATGGGGACAAGGACGCGTCCGAAAAGCCAGCGGGAGAAGGAAAAAGCGAAAGGCGACGGGTTCAGCTTCGGCACGTGGCGCCTGAGCATGCACAGAGGGCGGAGGAGGAAGCCGGCCAGGGAACGAAGATGGACGAGGCTGCGGCGAGAAGGGCGATCGGCATGTGGCGGAGGAGGTAATCAATCAATCAATCAATCAATCAATCAATCAATGAATCAATCGGAATAGAGCTGGAAGGGACCTCGGAGGTCTTCTAGTCCAACCCCCTGTAGAATTTCAGACAAGTGGCTGTCCAGTCTTTTCTTAAAAACTTCCAGCGATGAAGCACCCACAATTTCTGGAGGCAAGTCGTTCCACTGGTTAATTGTTCTCACGGTCAGTAAGTTTCTCCTCAATTCCAGGTTGCTTTCTGTCCTTGATTAATTCCTGGTAGAGTAGTGGCTTTGTGGGTCTTCTGCCGGATAGGAGACGGAGCTCCGAGCAGACGGAAGGGTGGGTGGGGGATTCGAGGAGAAATCGGTTCCTGCGCACGGAGCCGGTGCAAGAGCGTCTCTGAGGGTGTGCAGAGTGCAGGGAAGGGCGATCCAGGAGGCCAGGGAGGGACGGAGAGGATGGGCCGCTGATGTCCATTGATGTGAGCAATAAGACAAGGAAAAGCACCTCTTAAACATAGGCGGAGTAGAAAGAAAGCGGGCGAAAGAGGGATGTTTCAAACGGGATTCGATATGTGCTTGGCGAAAAGTCCCGATTTATCAGGAGTTTTAGCCTGTAGCAACAAAAGGGAACTTCCTTGTTCAGAGGCAGTCTATCTCTAAGCAATAAACGCCAAGGACAAATAGAGAAGGTTGGTTTTTTCCGGGCTCCGCATTGCTGGAAACAAAATAATGAGCTAAATACATGTTTTATCCAAGCCAAACTTAATTAAGTTGAGAAAGGAGTTTACTTTACATCTGACTTCCAAAGGAACTGCTTTAGCCAAAAGGGAACATCACTTGGTGTTAACCAATAAAACGATTTTCAAAGCATTATTCTTATATGGATCGATAGTTTGTCATTCAGTGCAGGATCCAATTACACCAATGTGGATTATAATCAATACTGGGTCTAGAGGGAGTATTAGTCATAGTAAGGACAAAAAAAAAAGACCCTCCTTATTTAGATGCAGTCTACCTCTGAACACCAGGTACAGGTGTTTTACCACAAAGGGTGAGGAGTGGGATGGAGACTTGTAAATAACTGGAACAGTCATGCCGAGGAAATCTATACATCTCCCTTGCACACAAAAATCTTACTTTCACACCACGTTCTTCTTTTAATAAGCTATCAGTGTTGAAATTTCTATCTCCCCCATCAACCAAGCCATTTTATTTGGAAATCAATTCACTTAAAGTGGTACAGTAATTGTATTTTCAACGTGGGTACCCTTGGCTGTCATAAAAAGCCCTTCAGGAACCAACAGGAGATTTTCGGCATCGGGAGAAAATATTAAAATGCTAGGAGAATCCCAAAGCGGAGTGAAATGAAACACCATCTATTTGTTTGGGGTTTTTTTTCTTTTCTTAATATTAATAATAATTAATAATAATTAATTAATTAATTAATAATATTAATTAATAATAGTTCCTGGAGTTTCTGCAGCCATTTTTTTTTTCCAAGCATCTTGTCTTTTTCACTACTCTGTAAAATGAAACCTTTGAAAACTCATTCCAGGCATTAATTTTCCCCCCAGCTTTTCAAATTATAGGTTCAACATGAGGTATTAATTCCAGCCAAATTGATATTTATTCTTTCCGTTTCAGAAGATGAGACTATATATTCTTCCTCCTCACACGGATGGTGAGATTGTTTCATAATGTCACAGCAGTTGAGCCAATCAGTATCAGGGATGACACTATAGGTAGTACTCGACTTACAACAGTTCATTTAGTGACCGTTCAAAGTTACAGCGGCACCGAAAAAAGTCACTTATGACCATTTTTCACACTTATGACCATTGCGGCATCCCCAGGGTCAGGTGGTTTACATTGGTCACTTGTCAAGATTTACATGCTTGACAGGTGACTGACATTTACGAACGTTGCTGTATCCCAAGGTCACGTGATTCCCCTTTTGTGACCTTCTGACAAGCAAAGTCAGTGGGGAAGCCAGATTCACTTAACAACCATGTGGCTGCAGTGATTCGCTTAATAGCTGTGGTGAGAACAGTCCTAAAATGGGGCAAAATTAAAAAAAAAATCTTAACAACATAAATTCTGGGCTCAATTGTGGTCGTAAGTTCAGGACTACCTGTATAAGAAGAATGTCCTACATAGGCAGTCCTCAACTTACAGCCACTTGTTTAGCGGCCGTTCAAACTTCCAAAGGCACCGAAAACAGTGACTTACGACCGGTCCTCGCACTTATGACTGACATGTGATCAAAATTCAGGCACTTGGCAACCAGTGTGTATTTGTGACGTTTGCAGTGTTCCAGGGTCACTTCAGCGCCATTTGTGGTCATAAGTCAAGGACTACCTGTATATTTCTGTACAGATTCCCAGCCTGAAGAGAGCATGACAGACATGGACTGCTGGTTTTACTAAATACTATTTGCGTGCTTCACATTATTCAGAGCGTTCAAAGCTGGGAATTAATAATGAGTACCAAATCCTGTAACCTATAAATAATACACTGCTCAAAAAAATAAAGGGAACACAAAAATAAGATCCTAGATCTGAATGAATGAAATATTCTTACTTTGTTCATTACATAATTGAATGTGCTGACAACAAAATCACACAAAAATTATCAATGGAAATCAAAATTAGCAACCCATGGAGGTCTGGATTTGGAGCTACACTCAAAATTAAAGTGGAAAAAAACACGACAGGCTGATCCAACTTTGATGTAATGTCCTTAAAACAAGTCAAAATGAGGCTCAGTCGTGTGTGTGGCCTCCACGTGCCTGTATGACCTCCCTACAACGCCTGGGCATGCTCCTGATGAGGTGGCGGATGGTCTCCTGAGGGATCTCCTCCCACACCTGGACTAAAGCATCCCCCAGCTCCTGGACAGTCTATGGTGCAACGTGGCATTGGTGGATGGAGTGAGACATGATGTCCCAGATGTGCTCAATTAGATTCAGGTCTGGGGAATGGGCGGGCCAGTCCATAGCATCAATGCCTTCGTCTTGCAGGAACTGGG